ACAGGGTCTCTCCAAACTCAAACTGGACAAAAATCACAATTCACTGCACCTTGGGATAACTCTGCTATGAGGATAACCACACCCTAGAACTGGCTGCAAGGGCCAACTCACCTTCCATGGCATCCTCATCCATTTGGGTCAATCCGTCCATCCAAATTCAACCCACTGAAAGTCTGAAATATCTTCCAGATCCTTCCTGCCCACCACGACTTTTCTGTCCAGCTACTCCCTGGGGTGTCATTCTTAAATCGTATGAGATTAATTGATATTACTTGAATTGAGCGAATAGAGCTTGCTCATCTGTCATACACACGTTTGATAAACTTACTCTATCACTTCTAGTGCATCTTGGAAGCTATTTATGGATGTGCACTATTTCAGGACACCAAGTTATTGTTTGATTTGGCTCCCACTAAAAACTGTCCAGACACAGAGTTTATTTTGTTTTTCATTTGTAGTGGGGATCTGTCCCATGCTAATGAAGTTATAATCTTTTATTAGCCTCCCTGGAAATTAAGGGTGTGATGGGCCAGAAGTAAAAATACAGTGTGCAGCAATGGAGCAGATTTTCCTTTTTTAGCAACACAACTGAGAAGTTTACAGGAGATATGGTTCTCAATTTCACGTCAATATCAACAAACTCTCTAGAAAACACAATTAAACAGCCCAAGCAATTTACTGCCACAGAATGACTTACAAAGAAAACTTCCAGAACTAGGAAAATGCTATGGATCACTCAGCTCCAGGAATTTCAGTAAGCATACACAGAGGTGGGCATCACAAGGTGACCTCCGATGCTATGTGTAACTAGTTACCCTAACTCTGATGCAATGGGAGTTCAACAAAGTTAAAAATGCCAAAATGGATACGAGTTCCTTGTTCATTCAATGACTTTTTGGTTTTTCATTGATGTTTAGTTAAATAAAAAGAAAATTAAAACTTTAAAATTCTAAGACTATTTCGAGGAAAAAAATTTGAGTACAAATAAGTTTTTAAAATCGAGAAGGGAGAATCTATAAGTTAAGAAAACAAATTTTAAGAAATCCACCAAATGGGTATTACCCATCAAAATAGTTCAAACACATGTCTTAGGAAGTCCACATGATCTTCTTTTGATGCTGCTCTATTAGAAAGAATTTTTTTTTGTCATCTTTCTTTCAGAAGTGTTTTCAAGTAATTTATACTACTGCACTCTGTTATCTCTGATATGGCATATATAAGAAATCTACAGGAAAAATGCCATGTTTTTAAAACCCTTTTTCAATGGCATCAGAATTATTGGCAGAGGGGCGGCCCCGTGGCTTAGCGGTTAAGTGCGCGTGCTCCGCTGCTGGTGGCCCGGGTTCGGATCCCGGGCGCGCACCGACGCACCGCTTCTCCGGCCATGCTGAGGCCGCGTCCCACATACAGCAACTAGAAGGAAGTGCAGCTATGACATACAACTATCTACTGGGGCTTTGGGGGAAAAAAAAAAAAAAAATAAAAAAAAAAAAAAAAGAATTATTGGCAGAGAGCAGACAGGCAGGTATAAATTAAACGTTAATCTCCCTTACTCAACTGCCCCCCACACAGGAATCTCACCTCCTGGGCCGTTCATTTGCAAAACAATATCCCAAGATAAATGACAACAAGTTCCTGGGTCTACAGCAGAAACTTTTACACTTAAGCACTGCGCGTGGGTACCAAGCTGATTGAGCACAACAGCAACTCAAGACAACATAATCCACACATTAACACAAATACTATCAATTTACTAAAAAAAAGATCTGAATTTCATGCTCAGGGTTTTCCAGCCAAGCAGTGGAAGAGTGAAGGGATAGACCAGCAATTTCAAAGAAGAAAGGTTACAATGATATATTTCTAAATCACGTAAATAGTTTTAGGCTACAATGAAGAGACTTTGCTTGAGTTGCCTATAAAATAATTTTTATTTCATCTTGGACCTAGTTACCAGAACACAGTATTAAGAAATAACACTGTGTGTAGTATGGTTTTACATCTGGCAAATACAGACAAATAAAGGGATACAGGGATATAGGTTTTATGCCAGTAAAGTTCCTATCTAGGTCTTTGAAGTCTGTTTATAATTGCCCTGCTTTTTTAAATTAATCATTTTCAAGTTTCTTCATGTAAAATGTTCAAAGCACACTTTATAACCTTACACTAACTCTGATGTCTACGTCCTTTACAATTGATCATATTTTATAACCAAATAAAAATAAATTGTTCCCTTCCTCATAAATGCTTTCAGAAATAAAAATAAAACTACTTTACTTTAGGTACAGAAAGCTCATGATTTACGAAGTCAAAGCAATGAAATCTGAAGTCTCTAAGGGCAGTTCTCAGACTTTAGCATATATCAGACTCGTCACCTGAGGTGAGGGACACAGACGGTGGGTCCCACACTCCGAGTTTCTGATTCAGAAATTCTGGGAGGGGCCCAAGAATTTGTATTTCTAACAAGTTCCAAGGACATGCTGATGCAGAAGGTGAGGAGATGCCTTTGAGAACCTAATTTCTGTGATATGTAAGACTTATTTGAAAAGTAACATATAAATATATTTTTTCACCCACCTCAGAGCTGTGACATTTATAATGACCAGAAATGCTGATTAATTTTCAAAGCCAATTCTATTCCTAGCTAAGTGACTAATAACCACAACAATATTAAAACAAAATAGAACAAGACCACCACCTTCATCACGATGATCAAGTCAGGAGCAGAACTGCCTCCTCCCTTATTGTTAAGCAACATGGGCACAGGATTAATTTAACGCAATGATTTCTTACCGTCTCCACTCCTAGATCTCACCCTTTTCCACTGCCCAACATGAGACTTGAAAGGACAAATAATCTGAATGACAAAAGTGACAGGAAAATGGAACCATGCCTTTCTAATCTGGACAGTTCCGGGGACATCTCAGCCCCCCAACCCCATCTTTCTCACTTCTCATTATCCCCTACACAGACACACACACACACACACACACACACACGTTAAAAAAATAAAATAAAATAAAAACTTCCTTTAGCTGGGATGATCTGAACCAATGGGAGAGAAATAAAGACTTGGACATGGGATAAGAGGAATTAAGACTCTCCCACACTAGGTATGGAACAGCTCCTCGAGAGGCTCTATCTCCAGCATTCCTCCATCTCTAGAACTCCACCACTCTCAGTTGCTCGAGGACACCCGAGTCCAGCAGAAGTCAAAAGAGGGCCAAATGAATTCCTGCTCTCCTCAAGGCCCCCCTCCTGCTATCAGCCAAGCGGTAAGATCGCCTGCACTCCCAGCATCTCCCTCATACACCCACCACCGCCACCACCACCACCGCCTCGACCACCACCAAGCAAGCTCTCTTTCATTTGAGAAAGAAGGGGTGGAGAGGGAGAGGGGAAATTAGATGCTTAGAGGTGGGAGGAAGTGAAGACTTGTTGGCGGAGCCCAGGAGGGAACTAGGAAGACAGGAATGGGGAGTGGCAGATGGAGCGCAGGAGAGGCCAGAGCTCGCGCTCGGGACCCCCTCCCCGGCACCCCCAGCACTGCACAGCCCTGGACAGAACACAGCGGAGAGAGGAAAGCCTGGGTCGGATCTCCCCGCTTGGTTCCCAAACACCCGCCCCCTGCGCAGCCCACGTTGCCAGAGAGTTCGAGGACTCGACGTCCCCTTGCACCCGCGCCTATTCCGAGTGGGTTCTAGAGTCTGCAGGGAAGGATCCGACCTTCCACCAACACTCATGCCCCTTGCCCGGGGCACCCATGGACCTAGCACTGCAGCGCTGTGTTCCAAACCTCGGAGCAAGACCAAAGGCAGTGGCTGCTTTTCCAGCGCACGTAATCTGGATATCGGCCCCCGGGAGCTGTGGGCGAGTCTTGGCCTGCTGTCCCCTCAAGGGCTGTTCTCCTAACCTCCCCAGCATACCTCGAGAACACAAAAGTTATTTTTCCTTTGTGGCACCGCCTGCTTGTCCCAGGAGAAGACGCACATTTCAGCCAGAACCTGGATGTGTGTGTGAGTGCCTCTCTCAGTCCCGAAAGCCAAGGGTGCCAACTGCTGACAGGCAAAGGAACCTGGATTCGCTCTTGAGGACTCAAAAACCTCCGATTAGCAAGCCCGTCCTTCTCTGGTCCTAACCCGCCCAGATCTGGGCTATCCGGAGAACTGAGACTGTGTTCCTGTTGCAGCGAGCTGGTGTCCTGCCCCGGAGCCGAGACGCGCGGACTTGGCCGTCCGTTCATTCATGCATTTGCTCATCCATTCACATAAACATGTCCCTTAATTGTGTCTGGCACGGAGAATCTTGCCTGCTATTTTCCCCTCCCCAAGTCAGTGCTCATGGCAACGGCTGGTGCAGAACGCAACTCAACTGTCACCCCACTTCCTGAGCCGGAAAATCAAGTCATGTAGGCATTGACAAAAAAAAAAAAAAAAGGCATGAGATCAGGAGGCGGAGGGGGGGTGGAGAGGGATGGGGAGC